ACTCACCTGTTCTCCCCCACCTCTTGGCCCTGGGCAATCACTTATTTGCTTTTTGTCACTGTATATTTTGTCACTGTATATTTGCCTGTTCTGGACTTAAAAATATATATATATGTCTTCTATCTAACTGCAGTTATATATCGTTTGACCAAGAACAGATCGATGAATAAAGAAAATGTTTATATATACATAATGGAATACTATTCAGCCCTAACAAGAATGAAATCCTGTCATTTGTGACAACATGGATGAACCTGGAGGACATTATGTTAAGTGAAATAAACCAGGCACAGAAAGACAAATACCATATAATCTCACTCATGTGAAAGATAAAAAGACAATCTTATAGAAGTAGAGAGTAGAATGGTGGTTACCAGAGGCTTAGGAGGCTTGGGGGATGACAGGATGGGGAGATGTTGGTCAAAGATCACCTGCCTTTTTAATTTTTGGTTATTTGCTATGTGTAAAATTGTCTCATTGTGGCATGAATAAAGGCAGATTTTATTTTTCTTATGGTGCCTGAATAGGTACAAATGCACCAAGGCTTAGCCAGGGCCACCACCCAATGGGAAGGCTTGGCCTGGGCATGTCTGGCTTGGGCCCTCATCTGGGGGCAGCATTACTTCAGAATTGAGGTTGCAGAAGAGGACAACAGGTTTCAGACTGACCAAAAAAGAGAGAAATGAAGTGTTTCTCTGAGGATTTTGCTTCTCCTTCCCCTGACTTGCACAGATGTTTCTAGGGCTAGAGACAAGGGAAAGATACCTAGTGAGAGGACTGGTGTTGTATTTTATTACAGCAAAAATTAGAGTGCCTTAAAAGTGAGCCAAAGTCATAGTCCCATATATTTATGAGAAAAAATATTTTTAAAAAGAACAGAATATTAAATTTTAATTACAAAATTTGTTACCTTACCTAGATCCAAATTTGTATTGACCTAAAATCTTAGAAATACTTACATGAAAGATGTTTCTTCAGAATGTATGTTCAGTTAAAATGCTGTGATTCAGCTGAAAATCATTTGAATATTCAATGCTTTATTCAACTAAATTTTAATTTTAATTTTATTTATTTACTTTATTGAAGCATGATTTATTATAAATATTTTGGAGGTACAATGTTGACTACCATCACCTGTGTACAACGTGTTGCTCGAATTAATATTATTTAAGTGAAATAAGCCAGACACAGAAAGAGAAATGCTTTAGTTAAGAAAACAAAACCATCTTTTTGTTTTTTTAAACTAACCCTCTGTAGACATGAGGAAGGACAAGCCAAATGTCACTGCTTGTTTTTCATCCTTGTAGTTTAGGAAAGCACACTATTCCCTGTACTACATCATTTTAACTGCTGGGCGATCCATGTATCTATGATGCTAATGTTGCTATATTAAACGTTATCTACTGGGGCACTTCAGAAAGTTTGGGAAAAACAGAATTGAAAGAAAATACTAATCTATTCATGAGCTTTTGAATGTACCCTTAATGGTTCTTCTTTCACCTCCTGTGATTATTTCTAATTGTATGTCCTTTTGTTCTTGTGATCAGTTCTTATTCAAAAGTACTAATGACTACAGTGTACTCTTATATGCAGAGTAGCAGATAAATGTTGAAAAGTTACTAGGCATAGCAATAAAAAATGTAAAAGTCACACTGACTTCAGAAAAGGCACAAAAGTGACTGCATTGATGTTACAATTGATACATTGATTAGTGGAAGGAAAGAAATGAGGCAGATTGAGTGTAGCTAAGGAAAGTTTTGTTTAGGATAGTCTAATGTTAATTATACTTGTCTTAGTTTTGTTTATTCTAAAGAAAAACTAGAAATAATACCTTGTAGGAAGATGTAGAACTAAATTTTTCTGTATTTGCCAATATTTTTAGGGTGTCTAGGTGTGTATAAATCTGACTTGAATAGTTTCTCTTTTGTTAATAGGTGCAAAAAATTATTGAGATAAATATTTAGGAGAATTCTACTAAAGAAATTATCAGGTCTAAAAATAAATTTGTAAAAAAGAAGATAAAAATGGATATAAAATAATAAGTTTAAAAGTTAAAAAAAATCATGCTACTGAAATGATATAAAACATACTTTTAAATGTACATATAATGTTTAAAAGGAAAAAGAGGATTTTTTTATTATATTTTATTTTTTATTTTTATTTTTTATTTATTACAAATATTCATGAGATACAAAGCTGATTGTCCCCCC